AGGGTGGCTGCCTTTTATTTACTTGTTTTTTAAATATATTTTTATTGATTTCAGAGAGGAAGGGAGAGAGAGAAACGTACATGATGAGAGCGCATCATTGACCGGCTGCCTCCTGCACGGCCCCCACTGGGGATCGCACCCTGACCTCCTGGTTCCTAGGTCAGCGCTCAGCCACGGAGCCACGCTGGCTGGCCGGGCTCTATCAGCATTTTGAGGCTTCCTTATACCGCGTTCTGGTGTGAAATGGCTTCAGCTTTATTCAGCGTTGGCCTTGCTTTCCCTCTGCGCCGTCAGATGTGACCTTGCACGACCTTGCGGGTGACCTTTGCTCCTTGTCCTGCAGCCAGGAAGAGAGCGACGATGGAGACCGCCATGGCCCTGGAGAAGCTGTTCCCGAGACAGTGCCAGATCCTGGGGATCGTGGCCCCAGGGATCGTCGGTGAGAGCGGTGCCCACTGGGCGGCCTCCCACCTCGGGTTCCTGCGGGTCCTGGGGCGGCTCCTTGTAGCTTAAAGACCAGGATACACAGAAGGTGGCGCATATGGCACATCTCAGGGCTGTGTGTATAAACCAGCCGTACTGCGTGTCTGTCTGCTTTTTTTTTTTTAATATATTTTCATTGTTGTCAGAGAGGAAGGGAGAGAGGGAGAGAGAAACATCCATGATGAGAGGGAATCATGGATCGGCGGGCCCCTGCACCCCCCCCCGATAGGAAGTGTGAGAGAGAGAGAGAGAGAGAGAAACAGCCACGATGAGAAGAGAGTCATTAATTGGCTGCCTCCCTCACCCCCCACACTGGGGATCCAGCCGGCAATCCAGGCACGCGCCCTGACCGGGAATCGAACCGGGACCTCCTGGGTTCATAGGTCGACGCTTAACCACTGAGCCACACCAGCCGGGCACTGGTCCTGTTTTTAATTAGGGCGTCGCCCTTAGGATCTCATGTAACCTTTACTTTCCTCTTTAAGGCCTTCTCTCCACATACAGTCCCACTGGAGGTTAGGACTTCATATGAATTTTGGGGGGGGGATAAATTTTGTCCCTAACCCCCACCTTTAAAATTCACAACGTATTTACAAACATATTTCCATGTCAGTTAGGATGTCTGTCATTCTTAATGGCTGCATTTCATTATATAATGTAACTTCTTTTAAAAAATATTTCAAGAAAAACAATCTTTAATACCTAACGTAACTTTCAATGCCAGTGTAGAGCGTTTCAGATTTTCTTTTGTATTTGTTACTAAAAACTCTCTGATAGAAGTATTTCCGTGTGTGTGTGTGTGTGTGTGTGTGTGTGTGTACTTTACATAATGGCCAAATATTTTAGCCCAGGATACAATTTTTAAAGCGGAATTGCTGTGAAGAAGTATTCATTCCCCTCCGCCCCAGACACAACTTTTTATTTAGAAAAAACCTCCAACCTATAGAAGAGTTGGAAGAATCATAGTTCAGCACACACCCCCACACTCTCCTTCCAGAAGATTCACCACCTCAAGGAATGTTGCAACACTTGCTTGTTCTGTCTCTGCTCATAAACATGTTCCTTTGCGAACCATTTGCAAGGGAATGGCAGACGTCACGACTCTGTGCCTCGAAGAACGTCACAGCTGAGCCCCTTCTCAGATAGTGGCCCGGGAGCCCGCTGGCTGGTGATCCGGGTGGGGCTGGCCACGTGCGCGGTGACGGAACGAATCCCCCGTTTTTATCTTTTCTCCTAGTGACGCCCATGGGCCCCGGGAGCAGTCGGCCTCAGGAGATAGAGATTGGAGAGTCTGGGTTTGCCCTGCTGTTCCCTCAGGTGGAAGGAATAAAAATACAACCCTTCCGTTTTGTCAAGAATCCAAAGAATTTATCGCTAGAAAGACGTCGCTTCACCGAAGCTGGTAAGTCGCTGTCGTTAACGGTCCGTGTCTCGGTGGTGGATTCTGGGAGGGTCTGATGAAGCTCACGCCCCCGGCGGCGAGGGCGAGTCGGACTAGCCCTGAACGCGGCTGGTGCGGTGCGTTCTGAGTTTTCTGTGAGTTCCTATCATGTGAGCCAATCACACAACCCCCCGGCCAGTGCGGCTCAGGGATTGAGCGTCGATCTATGACCCAGGAGGTCACAATTCGTTCCCGGTCGGGGCACAGGCCCGGGTTGTGGGCTCCATCCCCAGTGTGGGGCGTGCAGGAGGCAGCCGATCCATGATTCTCTCTCATCGTGGATGTTTCTATCTCTCTCTTTCTGTCTGAAATCCATAAAAATATGTTCAGAAAAGAAGGAAAAAGTGTGAGTTCAGGCAGACTGCGGCGCGAGGACGCACCAGGCGGGTCCCGAGAGGCGTGAGAGAACGGCTTAGCGTCTCAGCTCTGATGCGAAAGCGCGTGAAGCGACACGCTAGCTGCTCAGCGAAGCGAGGCCTTCTGTCTACATCTGCAAATGAATCGGTCGATCGGCACTAACTGGTTAAAAAAAACCTCTGTTGGCATAGAAACCGTTCAGTGGTGACCCCTAGTGTGCGTGCCAGCCGCCTGTGGGGATGAGCCCCCGTTACTGGAAATGGCTCTGAGCCCCGTGGGGGTAAAAGGTTGTGCAGCCACCAAGGGGAAACTCTGTGAATGGCTTGCTAATCCGAAGAGGAAAGGAGCCCTGGCCGGTGTGGCTCGATGGATAGAGCCTCGGCCTCAGGACTAAAGGGTCTCGGGTTCGATTCCGGTCAGGGGCATGGACCTCGGTTGCAGACTCGACCGCCAGCCCCGGTTGGGACGAGGCGTTTGGGAGGCAACCGATCGATGCGTCTCTCTCACGTCGACGCTTCTCTGTCCGTCTGTCCCCCTTCTCTTCGCCATTTAGTTTTTGTTTTATTTTTAAATATATTTTTATTGATGTCAGAGAGGAAGGGAGAGAGAGAGAAACGTCCATGATGAGAGAGAATCATGGATCGGCTGCCTCCTGCACGCCCCACACTGGGGATGGAGCCCGGAACCCGGGCCTGTGCCCTTGACCGGAATCGAACCCAGGACCCTTCAGTCCACGGGCCAACGCTCTGTCCACTGAGCCACACCGGCCAGGGCGGGTCTTTGATTTTTTAATGGGAAAATGGTTGCCCAGATGCTGAGTCGTGTTACAGTTTGTAACAGTCGGGGGATCTGCATCTACTAGTAACTCGGCGAGCACGTCACTGTTCCCTTCAAAGCGAGGAAAACGGAGTTTCCTTGGAGGGGCGGTGCCGTCCGTCTGCAGGCGTCCCTCACGGCTGCCCTCCCCCTGCAGGCCTCCTGGACAACCCCGAGCTCCGCGTGGTGCTGGTGTTCGGCTACAACTGCTGCCGGGTGGGGGCCAGCAGCTACCTGCAGCGCGTGGTCCGCACCTTCAGCGACACGAACGTCGTGGTGGCCGGGGGCCAGGTGGACAACCTGGTCTCACTGACCTCTGACACGTACGTACGTCCGGCTTCCCCCGCGCGACGGGGCGCGTCCCAGGGGTTTTGTTACTGCGGGTCTTTTGGGTTCGTTTTTTGTTTTATTTCTTCCTCCGGCTTTATTGTCAGACACGCTGTGTGAACACAACACAGCAGACAGCAGGGGTCCTCTTGGGGGAAAAAAACACACAGCAAGGAAGGGAGAGGTTCCAGAAACTTTATGGACCGAGCCACATAAAGCTAAAAATGGCCCTCACCGGTGTGGCTCAGTGGATAGAGCGTCGGCCGGCAGACAGAAGGGTCCCGGGTTTGATTCCCGGTCAAGGGCACATGTCCAGGTGGCGGGCTCGATCCCCAGTGGGGGGCGTGCAGGAGGCCGCCGGTCAGTGAATCTCTCTCATCATGGATGTTTCTCTCTCTCTCTCTCCCTCTCCCTTCCTCTCTGAAACCACTAAAAATATATATATTAAAAAAAATAAATAAATAAAGCTAAAAACGCCCTCCATGATTGAATATGTATAGCTGAATATTCGGGGGGAAAAGACACCAAAGATGTAAATAATACCACGAAGCTGCACTTAGGAGACCTCACTGTGTGCAGGAATAGAAGGGCAAGGCGACTGTTGAGGCAGCGAGAAAGGTCAGGGTTCCCTTCTACACACTCAGGAGTGGGTTCAGGAATCTTGGTGGAGGTACATTTGTCCTTTTGTATTTGTTTTAAAATATATATATACTACTTTTTAAAAAATATTTTTATTGATTTCAGAGAGGAAGGGAGATGGGGAGAGAGATGGAAACATCCATGATGAGAGAGAATCACTGACCGGTGGCCTCCTGCACGCCCCACACTGGGGATCGAGCCCGTAACACGGGCATGTGCCCTTGACCAGAATCGAACCCAGGACCTTTCAGTCTGCAGGCCAACGCTCTATCCCCTGAGCCACACCGGCCAGGGCTATATATACTATTACACCTGTGTAAATTTTATTTATTTCAGAGAGGAAGAGAGAGAGAAACATCCATGAAGAGAGAGAATCACTGCCGGGACACGGTGGGCTTCATGTTCGCCTGCGTGGGCCGCGGCGCCCAGTTCTACCGGGCCCAGGGCAACGTGGAGGCCGACGCCTTCCGGAAGGCCTTCCCCGGTGTGCCCCTGTTCGGCTTCTTCGGCAACGGCGAGATCGGGTGCGACCGCATCGTCACGGGGAACTTCGTGCTGCGGCGCTGCGGCGCGGTGCGGGACGAGGACCTGTTCCACAGCTACACCACCGTCCTGGCGCTGGTGCACCCGGGGGCCTCCCGGTGAGGCCGCGGCCCCCCGCCCCG